CATGATGTTTGTTTAGTACCCCTTAATGTTTGTGTAGTACACCTTAATATTTGTAAAGTACACTTTAATTTTTATGTAGTTCACCTTAATCCTGGTGTTTGTGTAATTCACCTTAATCCTGGTGTTTGTGTAGTAACAATAATCCTGGTGTTTGTGTTGTACACCTTAATCCTGGTGTTTGTGAAGTACACCTTAATCCTGGTGTTTTTGTAGTGCACCTTAATCCGGGTGTTTGTGTAGTAACAATAATCCTGGTGTTTATGTAGTGCACCTTAAACCTGGTGTTTGTATAGTACACCTTAATCGTGAGGTTTGTTCAGTACACCTTAATCCAGGTATTTGTGGTGTAAAACCTATTACTGCTGTTTGTGAAGTACAGCTTAATATTTGTGTAGAAATCTTAATCCTGGTGTTTGTGTAGTACACCTTAATCCTGGTGTTTGTGAAAAACACCTTCATCCTGGTGTTTGTGTAGTTCACCTTAATCCTGGTGTTTGTGTAGTACACCTTAATCCTGGTGTTTGTGTAGTACACCCTAATCCAGGAGATTGAGTAGTACACCTTAATCCTGGTGTTTGTGCCAAGCACATTAATCGTGGTGTTTGTGTAGTACACCTTAATCCTGGTGTTTCATTAATACACCATAATCCTGGTGTTTGTGAAGTACACCTTAATCCTGATGTTTGCGCAGTACACCTTAATCCTGGTGTTTGTGTAGTACACATTAATCCAGATGTTTGTGCATTACACCTAAATCCTCGTGTTTGTGTAGTACACCTTAATCCTCGTGTTTGTGTTGTACACCTTAATCCTTGTGTTTGTGTACTACACCTTATTCCTTGTGTTTGTTTAGTACACCTTAATTCTGGTGTTTGTGAAATTCTCCTTAATCCTGTTGTTGGCGTAAAGCACCTTAATCTTGGTGTTTGTGTAGTACACTTTTTTATTGGTATTTGTATAGTACACCTGAATGCTCGTGTTTGTGTAGTACACTTTAAACCTGGTGTTTGTGAAGTACACCTTAATCCTGGTGTTTGTGTAGTACACCTCAATCCTGGTGTTTGTTTAATACACCTTAATCTTATTGTTTATGAAGTACACCTTAATCCTGATGTTTGTGCAGTACATCTTAATCCTGGTGTTTATGTAGTCCACCTTAATCCTCGTGTTTGCGTAGTACACCATGATCCTGTTTTTTGTGTAGTACACCTTAATCCTGATGATTGTGCAGTACACCTCAATCCTGGTGTTTGTCTAGTACACCTTAATCATCGTGTTTGTGTAGAACACCTTAATCCTGGTGTTTGTGTAGTACACCTTATTCCTGGTGTTGGTTTAGTATACCTTAATCCTGGTTTTTGTGAAGTACACCTTAATCCTGTGTTTTGTGTAGTAAACCTTAATCCTGGTGTTTGTGTTGTACACCTTAAACCTGGTGTTTGTGTTGTACACCTTAAACCTAGTGTTTGTATAGCACAGCCTAATTGTAGTGTTTGCACAGTATACCTTAATCCTGCCGTTTGTGCAATACACCGTAATCCTGGTGTTTGCGTAGAACACTTTAATCCTGGTGTTTGTTTAGTACACCATATTATTGGTGTTTGTGTAGTACACCTAAATGCTCGTGTTTGTGAAGTACACTATAATCCTGATGTTTGTGAATTACACCTTAATCCTGGTATTTGTACAGTACACCTTAATTCTACCATTTGTGTAATACACCTTAATCCTTGTATTTGTGTAGTTAACCTTATAACTGCTGTTTGTGTAAAATAGCTTAATATTCGTGTAGTGCACTTTAATTCTGGTGTTTGTGAAGTACACCTTAATCCAGGTGTTTGTGAAGTACACCTTAAACTTGGTGTTTGTATAGTACACCTTAATCGTGATGTTTGTGCAGTACACCTTAATTCTGCCGTTTGCGTAGTACGCATTAATCCTGGTATATGTGGTGTAAACCTTATTACTGCTGTTTGTGTAGTACAGCTTAATATTTGTGTAGAAAAACTTAATCCTGGTATTTGTGTAGTACACCTTAATCCTGGTGTTTGTGAAATACACCTTAATGCTGTGTTTTGTGTAGTACAAATTAATCCTGGTATTGATGTAGTACACCTTAATCCTGGTGTTTGTGTAGTACACCTTAATGCTGTGTTTTGTGTAGTACAAATTAATCCTGGTATTGATGTAGTACACCTTAATCCTGGTGTTTGTGTAGTGCACCTTAATCCTGGTGTTTGTGTAGTATATCTTAATCCTGGTGTTAGTGAAGTACACCTTAATGCTGTGTTTTGTGTAGTACAAATTAATCCTGGTATTGATGTAGTACACCTTAATCTTGGTGTTTGTGTAGTACACCTTAATCCTGGTGTTTGTATAGTACACTTTAATAGTGATGTTTATTCAGTACAAATTATTCCTACCGTTTGTGCAGTACACCGTAATCCTGGTGTTTCTGTAGAACACTTTAATCCTGGTGTTTGTGTAGAAGACCATAATGCTAGTGTTTGCATAGTTCACCTTAATTCTAAAGTTTGTGTTGAACACCTAAATCCTGCCGTTTGTGTAGTACATTTTAACCTGGTATTTGTGTAGTAAACTTTATTACTGCTGTTTGTGTAGTACAGCTTAACATATGTGAAGTACACCTTAATCCTTTCGTTTGTGTAGTACACCTTAATCCTGTCGTTTGTGTAGTACACCTTAATATTTGTGTAGTACAAACTTGATGTTTGTGCAGTACACCGTAATGCTGGTGTTTGTGTAGAACGCTTTAATCCTTGTGTTTGTGTAGTACACCTTAATTCTGGTGTTTGTGTAAAATACCGCAATCCTGGTATTTGAGTAGAACACCTTATTATTGGTGTTTGTGTAGTACTCCTTAATATTGGTGTTTGTGTAGAACATCTTAATCCTGGTGTTTGTATAGTACATCTTGATATTTGTGTAGTAAACCTTAATCCTGGTGTTTGTATAGTACATCTTGATATTTGTGTAGTAAACCTTAATCCTGGTGTTTGTGTAGTGCACCTTAATCCTCGTATTTTTTGTAGTACACCTTAATCCTGATGTTTGTGCAGTACATTTTAATCCTGGTGTTTGTTTAGTGCACCTTAATCCTCGTGTTTGTGTAGTACACCTTAATCATGGTGTTTGTGTAGTACACTTTAATCCTCGTGTTTGTGTAGTACACCTTAATCCTGGTGTTTGTGTAGTTGACCTTAATGCTGATGATTGTATAGTTCGCCTTAATTCTGTCGTTTGTGAAGTACACCTTAATCCTGATGTTTGTGTAGTACACCTGAATGCTGGTGTTTGTGTAGTACACCTGAATGCTGGAGTTTGTGTTGTACACTTTAATCCTGGTGTTTGTGTATTACACCTTAATCATGATGTTTGTTCTGTACACCTTAATCTTGCCGTTTGTACAGTACACCGTAATCATGGTGTTTGTGTAGAACACTTTAATCCTGGTGTTTGTGTAAAACACCGTAATCATGGTGTTTGTGTAGTACACCTTATTATTGATGTTTGTGTAGTACACCTTATTATTGGTGTTTGTGTAGTACACCCTATTTTTGGTGTTTGTGTAAAACACCTTAATCCTAGTGTTTGTGTTGTACACCTTAATCCTCGTGTTTGTGTAATACACCTTAGTATTTGTGTAGTACACCTTAATATTTGTGTAGTAAAACTTTTTTCCTAGTGTTTGTGTAGTACACCTAAATCCTGGTGTTTGTGAAGTACACCTTAATCCTGATGTTTGCGTAGTACACCATAATCTTGGTGTATATGTAATACACCATTATCCTGGTGTTTGTGTAGTACACCTTAATCCTCGTGTTTGTGCTGTATTCCTTAAAATATGTGTAGTACACCTTAATCCTGGTGTTTGTGTAGTGCACTTTAATATTTGGGTAATACACATTAATCCTGTTGTTTGTGTAGTACACCTTAATCCTAGTGTTTGTGTAGTACACCTTAATCCTGGTGTTTGTGTAGTACACCTTAATCCTGTTGTTTGTGTAGTACACCTTAATCCTAGTGTTTGTGTAGTACACCTTAATCCTAGTGTTTGTGTAGTACACCTTAATCCTGGTGTTTGTGTAGTACACCTGAAGAGTATTGTTATGTTGAGGACCGTTTCCAACTTTATTCATTTTGCCCAAACTCTTCCCCAGCTAACACCTGTTCTTATTTATTCATTTCCCTAAATTCATTCTCACTCGTGGATTACTTAAGTTAATTCTAGACATAATTCTTCAACCACTGATTCCGTCCAATTGGCAAAGGTAATAAGCACCTACATTAATGTGTTCAGCTGGTGTACTTTAAAGTTCTTATTTAAAATAGCACCCTTTTCTTTCTAATAGATTACGTGACTTGTCTACATTTCCAATGGTCGGGGTTCTTCCCCCGAGTCTTTATTTCATAAATATGAAAATTATTGGCTTTGTCTTGCCCGCTATGCTATATTTTCCTCATGGTTTCTCTTTTCTTTATAAACAAGATCCTTTAGTGCGTTAAAATTCTTCCGTCACAGTTATCCACTTGGGTTATGTTAACGTTATCTAATCAGTTTAGATAGTAGGCTTAGTCCCGGGCTAAAAAAAAACTACTTTTGAAAAAATTATTTGAAGCAACATTATAGTCCAGGTATAAAATATATAAAAGTTAAACTCTAAACAATGGAAATAAATTGGAGCAGTTCAGATCAAGTAAAAAGCCTGGGTAAATATATAGGAAGCAGGGCTATTGGTTTTTGAACAATTTACCAGATTATAATAGATCTGGGATTGCTGGATTGTTTCAAGCGTATGTTAGACATGAAAAAGTCAGAAACTGCTTCATCTGGGCCGATAGGCATTCTGCAGGTTAATTTATTTTGATATTCGTATCCTTAAGTAATTATTAATTGATCGAGCGAAATGATCGGAAAATTATGATTCCGATGCTTCAGACTGTCTAAGGTAGGGTTTTTAAACTAGCTTGAATCTTGAAAATGAAATTTAATGCTAGACAGATAATTCTTAACCTAGGTAACATGAGTATGTTACCAGGTGGATAATGTTTAAACTGATGAATTTACATGCTAAAATATTGAGATACCCTGTCAACAGGGATCTTGGTTTATATATGCAATGGCTTTATGTATAAAATATTACAAAATATGGGTAACCATTTCTAAAAGCGTTATCAACATTTATTGTTACTATTTAGGTTTATTTTCATTTTTTGCCTCTATTTAGATTATGTAATACCGTTTTGATCGTTGTATATTGAATGGACATTCACTTTAACGACTACAGATAAAATTGGTAAAGATTTTTAGGAATTAGAAACTTCCCCTATGAACAGAGATTAGGAAAGCTTACTGTACATTTCAAGTAGGTAAAATGGTAACATAATTGAATTAAACAACTTTGTGAAACGGTATTACACATCAGGTACAGTAAAAAGTTTTAAAATTGTCAAAACAAAATAGATCAGGCATTAAATATATATACTTAAGGTATGATTAGATTAACAATAAACCCGGGGAAATGTTAGCTTGAGAAGATTGTTGGTGTTATATGGAAGAAACTACCGGGGAATATCAACGAGGGATACCGGGATTGTTCTTAACAAGTTTGGTTGTGAAACAACTGTGGCTGCCAACATGGGCTAACAGACCTTCAGTTTTTTTTTAATAATCTGTAATAATTTACGAAACTTAGGAAACAGGTTTATGCTTCTAAGATGGTGTTGGTGGTGGATTACGAATATTAACACGGACCCCACGGACCACACAGCCTTTCAAGGTGGTGTTGGAGGTGGGTTACGAATATTAACACGGACCCCACGGACCACACAGCCTTTCAAGGTGGTGTTGGAGGTGGGTTACGAATATTAACACGGACCCCACGGACCACACAGCCTTTCAAGGTGGTGTTGGAGGTGGGTTACGAATATTAACACGGACCCCACAGACCAGACAGCCTTCCACTCTCATGTCTCCTGTAGATAATAGTAAACACTATTAGTCTGTAAATCGTAGATAGAAAACACTTTGAATATTGATAGTAAATAGTGTACACACAATTGTAAATAGTAAAAACTTTACTATTTGGTTTAAAGGTAAAGGGCTTAATATCAGGTAAGTGGTTTAAGTGAACACTATTAAGTAATTAAGGAGGCTAGTTAAAGTAGGTAGGTAATTACTCCGCCTTATGACCCACCTGTGATATATCTCCTCCTGGCCAACTGCAACACACCCGGACGTATCTTCATAACTTATAGGCACAACAGTCACCATTGTGCTTGTACGGCTCTTTGGTCCCGCCTCTCAACCGACAGTCTGGCGACAGTCGTGTCGTTGCAGCCGTCGCCTCGTTTCTGTCGCGTATCCACGCGGGGGGGTGGGGGGGGGGTTGAGTTGTCAAAAAATAGTGTCTCGTGTTAATATATACGCAATTCTCACCTTTATTCTGACTTGTGCATTTGAATTCTTTATAAATTAATATAATTATTTCATGTTTATTACAGAGGTTTTATGCATTTGTGTAGTTAATCTTTGATTGTTGGTGACATACACCAGATACCTGCTTAAATGTTACGTGCAGCATTCAGCTATTCTTGAACATATCCACTTATGTTTGCGTGTGTCGGCGATCACGTTTTCAGTCATTCATCATCTGTTGAATGGAGGTTATGCATGGAAAATTGGGTGATGAAAGGGTAATTATCTCGTCCCCCCATTAGCGTGGTCAGGCCCTATAAAAGGCGAGGAGCAGGTAACACCGCAGCCAGTCGACCATTGTCTACAGAGCTGACAACACCTTCATTATGGCCTGTGTATTCTTCCTGCTCCTCGTGTTTTGCGTCCAGCGCCACGGCTCCGCGTTCGTGTTCAAGAATTTGCCAAAGTGTAATGTCTCTTATACGATAGACTTCGTCACCACAACTGTGCAAGTGACGAGAGTTAGTTTCGTAAAATCAACAATAACTGAAACGGAAACCACACTGGTTCCCAAATATGAAACTACTGTCATTCCAAGCTTCGTCCGCATTACCCATACCGTAACGATAACCCCTAGCCCAATTAAGGTAGTGTAAATTATTGGTATTTTGACATTTTCATGTATAAAAAATTTTCATTCACTTCAATTCGATGTGGATAATGCTTAATTCTTGCTTGTCACAGGTGAGGAAGACTCACGTGGTGTCAGTCGTCACAAAGGTACCCGTCCGAAGAATCCTGACCACTACAGTCACTGCCTACAAGACCAACTTAAATATGGAAACTCTTGTCGTCACCAACTACCACAGCGTCTTCGAAACGATAGGGTTGCCTGACGACTATATGAATAATACCGCTTATGACCCACTAGCTACTGACTTCACCCGTACTATTTATAGTACAAAAACCTCTACCATACAGCTGACGGTCACAAAGGAAGAAGTTGAGACGATCCACGACCTCACCACCACCACCGTTGCCAGCACGCGCAAAAAGATGGTCACAATCACTGTCTGTCCAGAACCTGAATTTTAATATTTTTTGTGAGAAACGTAAATTTTATATTTTGGTTTAGATTTTTTTTAAAGGTTGGATGCCTAACTTATTGAGGTATCTTGTACATTGTGCATATTACACCCGAATTAAAATGTTGCGTCTTTTTAATTAGGAGCCTATACTTATCTTTAACATAACACAAATGGTCAATTTGCAAACACTAGGCAACTTAAGTTTTTATCCACCTAAAACCAATCATGTCTACTTAACACTAGTGACAATCTGGAAGTTAACTGGTAAACCAGAAATTGCCTTCACGCGCACAGCAGTTTCCAAACTAGGACCTACCAAAGTCCTTCGTGGCTTCATATAAGCCATGTTTTGAAACTTCAATTTTATAAAATAGAGGTTAGAGGAATTCATCGGCTTTGCCTAGGTTTTTCTTCCCCACCCAGACAGCCTCCTTAAACTAAGGACACATGTGATAACCATGTACCCGCCAAACAGTTTATGAATGGAAAAATGGTTTTCACGACTCTTAAACTAATGCCATTTGAAAGCTTCCGGAGTCAGCTTTACTGACATTTTGTTTGAACCACAACGCTGTAAATGCTTCATCCACGTACTACAAATAATCGCCAACATTACCTAAACGCCTAATCTAAAAAGTGCTATATATGTAAAATATGGCAATGCAAAATAATTTACATTTGGTAATTCCTGTTTTGAATGTACAAATTTATGAATGCATCCTTTTGGGGTCGACTGCTGCATGGAATGGACTTGGTCTGAGGACTGGTTGCTGACCAATCCCTAAATTTGCACAATATTCTAATGTATAACTAATTTCTATTTTAAACTAGCAGTACCTGGCCATGCGTTGCTATGGCTCTGCAACGCATGTGCGTTGTTGAGCCACGGCACTCTTCACTGTCCCAGTCCTCCCCATGATACCCCCCCCCCCCTCACCCATCATCTAGGCCTCCCAACCATTCCCTACTCCACTGTCCCCACTCGACCATCCCATAATGTCCCACTCCCTTGTCCCTTTGTCCTCCCCACCATTCTTCATTCACCTATCCTCTCGTCCCCCCCACCATCCCAAACTTCACTATCCCCTCGTCCTTCCCCATCATTACCCCTTCCCTTGTCCCCTCATCCTCCCCCACCATCTCAATTCCGACCCCTTGTCATCCCCACTCCCTCGTCCGATGCCTTCCCAAATGACCTGATGTTCCCATCAGAAAATTGGGAACATAGAGCAATCTGATGTTCCCATCACAGAGTTTAATCTATGAAAATTCAATTTATCAATGCAATCAAACATTGAAATTGTAACATATTAATATAGTGTGCATGTTGCTATCATGTGCAACAGATGGCGCTGTTTTTCAAAAACCCATGGTTTTTACCTGTCAGAGGGGTGGCATCTATATAGTAGGTATATAAAAAAGACACGCATATTAGAATCCAATGTTAAAATTTCAAAGCCATCGGTGAGGAACTTTAGGAGATTAGTGGGTGTTGCTCTTACATCAAACAGATTGCGCTGTTTTTCAAAACTTTTTGTTTTCTTGTCACAGGCGAGGCATGTATATAGATGACATATAAAGAGAAGTGCCTATTCAAATGCAACGTTGTCAAAATTTCAAAGCAATCGGTAAAGAGGTTAAGAAGATTTCCCTCGCAAAAGTTTTTCAGAAGAGCATTTTTTTTCCGTCGGAGGTTTCATCTAATATAATGTATATAAAAACCTGTTCAGATGCAAATGGAACGTTTTGTGAAATTTTCAAAGCAATCGGTGAAGAACTTTAGTGTAACTGCTAATATCCTAACTTTTTTTTTTTTTTTTTTTTTTTTTATTTACATTGTGCGTTTAGGTTGCCTATTTAGATTGTTGACGATTATGTGTAGTTGTAGTACTTGGGTAAAGCATTTATATTCTTGTGGTTCAAACAAAATTCGTCAGTGAAGCACTTGTTCCAGAAATGTTAGTACGAAATCAGTCGGGAGTCGTGTAAACCTTTTTTCATATATAAATACCCCCATCCCCGCTCGGCTCGTTGTTGCCGTGAGGGGGGCTTAGTGGGCGGCTGCCAGAGTGTGATGCTCCTTGGGACAGTCCTCTGTCCTTTTCTAGCCTTGTGCTCCTGCTGCCGTCCTCTCCAATTCTGCTGGGCATCTTTTCCTTTTCCTTCTGTTTCGTTTTTCTCCCCCCTCTTCTCCTATCTGCTTGCCGTTTCCTGCCGACCTTTTGCTCGTTCTGGTTCTTCCCTTGGACTTCTTCTACTTTGACGCCCGGGTGCTTGAGGAGGCATACTCTTGCACCCGTAGAACTGCAGTACCCGACGTCGAGAGCGAGGGGAACCTTTTATTGTCAATCCCCACTTAGTCACTGAACCCGATCTCGACGGATTGTCGGTTTCTTAAGGTGGCGTTTGTGGGGCGTATACTCACGACGCACCCCTAGGAGGCCCCGACAAGATCGGCGTTAGCTTCTTGTTGGGTGTCCTGCCTCTAATTGTGGCTCCATGGTGGGTGTGGGGGCACATTCGTGAGTGAATTCTTCTTTTCGTCACGATGACAACCCCTTTTTCGGCTTCTTCTGGTTTACCTTCTCAGGCTCGTGGGGTGGGCGACCAAGCCCCCGAGTCGGTCCGTATTGGAAGACCGGGCTCTGTAGCCTCCGCTGCATTGGGCCCCGACCTTGCTCCTCCTTTGGCCTCTCTGACTCCTTCCTCTGGCTCCCCTCCATCCTCTGTGGTTGGGTCGAGCCCCAAGCCCCCAGTGGTGACTACCTCGTCCCCTGGCGCGGCTCCTCTGGTTGTAACTACTGCACCTTTTAACCCCTCTCTCTCTGGGGGTTCTCACCGCCGTCCTCGTCACGGCCGTCCTCGCTCGATTCCTTCCAGTTCTGCTACCTATCAAGCCTTGTTTGGTCCCGCTTCGTGGCCCAAATATTTTGATCTCCTCCCTCTTGATTCTGCGCCTCCTGACGATTTCTCCCTCCATCGACATCTCATTGATTCCGTGGATGCCTCCATTACTTTCAACCCCACTCGTCTCGGTACACGTGTCGTTGCTGCTCCTTCTCAGGATGCTGCTTCCCGCTTGGCTGCCTTATCCTGCCTTGGCGAGACCCCCGTTCGGGTCTCGAAGAACGCTCAGTTGAATGCCAGTGTTGGCACTATTTTGCTCCCGCCCCATGTTGCAACCGGTGCTCGGGACCTGCGCGACTGCCACGACGATATTCGCCATATCCTCGCTGCCCAGGGCCATTCTATTCTCCAGGTGGACACGTTTACTCGTCCCCCTCGTGGTAGTCGCCGTCAACCCCTCCGGGTTGTGAAGATTACCTTTGATGGTAGGACCCTTCCACCCTCTGTCATTCTTGCTGGTGCCAGGTGCTCTGTCCAGGAGTACATTCCTTCTCCTCGGCTCTGCAACAAGTGCTGGAGGTTTGGGCATGGTGCCCTCCGCTGCTCCGGGACTGTCTCTCTCTGTCCTTTGTGTGGTGGCGAAGGTCACTCTAAGTCGGAGTGCACTTCTCCCCAGGCTCGTTGCCTCAACTGCGGTGAGGCCCATCCTACCTTCTCCCGTGCGTGTGTCCATTACAAGCTTGAGGCAGCCGTCCTCAACCTGAAGCACCGGGAGCGTTTATCTTTTCCTGAGGCGAGGCGCCAGGTTCGCCGGCTCCCGCCTTATGCTAATATCTCTTATGCTCGCGTGTTGCGCTCTTCCTCTCCTCGTCCTTCCCGCCTTCCTCAGACTCACAACCGTTTCCGGGCCTTGGACCCTGATGCGCCCACTGCCCCCTCCTCTGTTCCTTTGGGTTCTCTCCCGAAGGATCCTCCTCCTGGTCCTCTGTCTGGGGTTCCCCTTCCTTCTACCCGGTCTGTCGTGTCTTCTGTGTCTTCTTCCTCGTCCCCCTCCGATCCTCCTTCCCATCCTCTTCCTCCATCTATTGGCTCTCCCCACCGCCTGTCGGTGCGGGCGGATGTCCATCGCTCTCCTAACGGCCGTCGTGTGTGCTCTCGTTCGGCTTCTCCTGTTGAGACACTGGAATCCGTTGCCCGGTACGTAGTTGCTGGGACACCGGTCTCTTTAAGTCAGAAGCGTAAGCCTGGCTCCTCTCCTTCCTCTTCCCCGGCGGGTAAGAAGGCTTCGCTTTCTTCCTCAGCTCCTCCTTCTGGCTCTGTTGCTCCTTCCCCTCCCGTTTCAGTGCTTGCGCCCCCTGTTCCTGCTGTGGAGGTTTCTTTGGCCCCTGCTTCCCTTTCGGTTGCTGCTCTTGCTGGGGTGCGCTCCCCTCTTTCTACTCCCCCTCCTCCTGCTGCTGTCCTTGACGGCTCCTCTCCGTTGTCTCCTCCTCTTCCTCCTCCTCCTCCAGACCCTGCCCGCCCACCTCTGCTCTGTTCTCCCGTTTCCTTCCCTCCGTCTTTGCTCAGTTTACCCATGCCCCCTAACCCTGACTTTGCTGACCCTGATCCCGACCCTGATATTCTTTAACGTGCTCTGTTGCTCTTTCGCCTTTGTTTCTTCCTTGTTCTCTGTTTTTGTCCTTTCTCTTCTCGTCGTTGTCCATTCTTCAATGGAACGTTCGAGGTTATTACGCCAATTTCCTCGAACTCCAACTTCTGATTTCGCGGTTTTCGCCCCTTTGTGTCTGTCTCCAGGAGCCAATGCTTGGTGCTCGTCCTGGTCGTTTTCGTGGCTATTCCTTTCTCTTCCCCCCCCCCCCAGCCATTGCTGGGGCTTCTAATTCTTCTGCTCCTTTGATTCGGGCTGATGTTCCCTTTGTTCCTTTACTTTTTCCTTCGCCTCTCCATTGTTCTGCTGCTCGTATCTTTGTGGGGAAATGGTACACAGTTTGTTCCATTTATCTCCCCCCGAGTATCCCGCTCTCTCTTCCTGATTTGAAACACCTCCTGGACTCCTTGCCGGAGCCTGTGCTCCTGCTGGGTGACTTCAATTGTCGTCATTCTCTTTGGGGTGACGTTCTGACGAATACCCGGGGTCGCCTCCTTGAGCCGTTTCTCCTCTCTTCTTCCCTGTCTCTTCTGAATTCTGGTGAGCCCACTCATTTGGACTCTCGGACTCGCACCCTTTCTTGTCTTGATCTTTCTCTCTGCTCTTCTTCTCTTTACTTAGATTTCAC